AATACTTAGCAAAAGAAAAAAAGTAGGAGGTATGACACTTCTAGACTTCACACTTTACTATAAGGCTACAATAATCAAAACAACCTGGTATTGGTAAAAGAACAGGCACATGGACCAATGAAACGAGATAGTTTCTGGAAGCAAAACCTCAATTTCTCAACCAACTCATCTTTGACAAAACCTCCAACAACAACCACTGGGGAGAGGAGAACCTATTCAGTAAATGGTGCTGGGAAAACTGACTGGTCACATGCAGAAGATTGAAATAGGACCACTACCTATCATCATACACAAAAATTAACTCTAAATGGATCAAAGACCTAAAACTATAAGAATCTTGGAAAATGCAGGAGACACCCTTATGGAAATTGGAACTAGCAACCAATTCCTGATCAAAACCCCAAATGCCCATATCATAAGAGATAAGATAGACAAGTGGGACCTCATAAAACTGACAAGCTTCTGCAAAGCCAAAGAAACCATCAAGACAGCAGGGAGACAGCCCACAGAATGAGAAAATATATTTGGCAACTGTATATCTGATAAAAGTCTAACATCTAGGATCTACAAGGAACCCAAACATGCCTAAAGAAAAAAAAAAGCCCCATTAAAAAGTGGGCAAAAGACTGGGCTCAGTGGCTCAACCTGCAATCCCAGCACTTTGGGAGGCCAAGGCAAGTAGATAGCCTGAGCCTGTGGGTTCGAGACCAGCCCAGGCAACTTGGCAAGAGCTCGTCTCTACAATAAATAAAAAAATTAGTTGGGCATGGTAGCACATGCCTATAGTTCTGGCTACTTGGAAGGCTCAGGCGGAAGGATCACTGGGGCCCTGCAGGTCAATGCTGGAGTGGCCATGAGCATGCCACGGCACTTCAGCCTTGAGCGACAGAGTGAGACTCCAACTCAAAAAAAAAAAAAAAAGTGGGCGAAAGATATGAATAGACACATCTCAAATGAAGATATATGGGCAGCCAACGAGACATGAAAAAGTGCTCAGCCTCAGTCATCATCAGAGAAATGCAAATCACAACCACATTTAGACACCTCCTAACCCTAGTAAGAATGGCCATCATTAATAAAACAAACAACAACAGATGCTGGTGAGGATGTGGAGAAAAAGGAACGCTTCTACACTGCTGGTGGGAATGTAAGCTAGTGCAACCTCTTTGGAAGACACTGTGGCAATTTCTGAAAGAACTAGAAGTTGACCTTCCATATGACCCAGCAATCACCCTATTGGGAATATACCTGGAGGAATTCAAGTCATTCTACCAAAAAGATACCTGCACATGTATATTTGTTGCAGCTCTATTCACAATAGCAAAAACATGGAACTGCCCATCGAAGCTAGACTGGATAAAAAAGTTGTGGTACATCTTTTGTTTGGTACACAATGGAATATTATGCAACCATAAAGAATGACAAATACATGGACTTCGCAACAAATATATGGTTGGATTTAGAGTCTATCATGCTCAGTGACCTATCACAGAAACAAAGAACAGAGTGCCATATGTTCTCACTAATAAGTGGACCTTGAACAATTATCATAACACTCTTAAGAAAGAGATTGGCAGTAGTAGGAAACTGCCAAGAGAGGGAGAATGGAACTGGCAGTTGAGGGAAACTTCCAGGGGAGGGAAAGGCATAACTCATCAACAAGGGTACCTACATAATGAACATTTGTATACCTAACCCTGAATTTTATCCCACATCTTTAAAATGAAGGAAAAAATAAATAAAACTTTACAGTTAACATTAAAAAAGAAAAGAAAAGCTGTACACTTTAACTCTATTCCCTACATTTTGAGTTATTAGTGTCACAATTTACATTTTAAATATTTTTTATCTCTTTAAAACTATTGTAGATATTATTTTTAATAGCTTGTCTTTTAGTTTTCATAATAAAAGTGGCACACCATGATTATAAATTAACAGTCATATTAGCATCCTTTTCTTTTAGTTTGAAGAACTTCTTTTAGCATTTTTTCTAGGATAATTCTAGTAGCAATTAATTGCTTCAGCTTTTTGTTTGTTTTTCTGGGAATCTTTAGCTCTGCTTAATTTCTAAAGGAAAGCTTTTTGGGCACAGTATTCTTGGTTGGCAGTTTTTAAAGCTTTAGCACTTTGAATATGTTGTACCATTCCCGCTGACCTGTAAGGTTTCTGCTGTGACATCTGCTGCCAGGTGTGTTGGGTCTCCCTTACATGTTATTTGCTTTTGTTTTCCACTGCTTTCAGGATCCTCTTTTTGTCTTTGACCTCTTGCAGGTTGTTTATATCTTGGGTTATTCTTATGTGGCATGAATCTGACTGGTGACCTTTGACTTTCCTATACCTGGGTATTTATTTCTTTTTTCAGGTTTGGAAAGTTTTATGTTATTATTTAAATAATAACAGAATAAGCTTTCCACCCCTTTGTCATTCTCAGTTTTTTAATTCTAATAACTTGAATATTTGCTCCTTTACTATTGTCCCATAAACCCTGTCAACTTTTTTCCTTCGCGATTTTTCTCCTCTGTGTCTTTTCAAATAACCTGTCTTAGAACTCACTAATTCTTTTGTTTGATTGGTTCTGCTGTTGATGTTCTCTGTTGTACTTTTTATTTCATTCATTGGGTTTTTCCATTCCAGGGATTCCATTTGATTTTTAAAAATTATTTCAATCTCTATTATCTGAATTGGTTAACTTCAACCTTTTGTACTTGGATGTCACCTCTGAGGGGACATTGTAGATCTAGCAAACTACTCAGATGTCTCCTCTCAGGGGACATAAAGAGATTGCTGGTGATTATACAAGTCAAACTTACGCCAGCACAATTTTTTTAAAAAATGTATGTTTCCTTGACACTGTTCATCCAAGTTGCATGAAAAAGCAAATGAAGAGATGGAATATATATTGAGAAATGATCCATCAGTTGAAAAGTGGCTTTCAGGAATCACGAGTGTTTCCTCCCACGTCTCCTTTGAACAGACTGGTCGATAAATGACATATTATTAATGTGGAAGGAAGAAAACAAGACTGCATTGCCTGCTCGAATAGAAAAACACCAGGTGGAAGATGTGAAATAAATTACTATTGCACAACATATATCAATGAACCTGCAATGCATGTCAGTGACCGTTTCACACATTACCATGTTAGAAAAATTTAAGATATAAAGTTTGGATTTTTTGGGGTCATAAATACATTCTTCACTGTCCAAATTCCATTATGAGGCAAATACCATTACAATAAAATAATTGGTTCCAATGCTATATACTATTTAATATGAAGTGATTCATTTTTCGCTATTGCTTAAAAAAAGGTCAGTCAGGTTGCTGGTAGGTGACCTATGAGATGTCTCCAAGTGTAAGGGGTTGGGATTGTTAAGCTGCCTTAAAACATCTATTTTGAAGTCTTTGTCTGAGAGATCACATAGATCTATCATTTCAGGGTTCATTTCTGGTGCCTTATTTTGTACATTTGGTAAGGTCATATTTCCTTAAATGCTCTTGATGTGTGTGGATGTACAACAATGTCTATGCCTCGAGGAGTTAGGTGTTTATTCCACTATTTACAATCTGGCTTTATTTGTGCCTTTCTTCAGAGGGCCTTTCAGATTCGAATCAGCCTGACTGTGTCTCCCTAACCTGTGGCCACTGCAGCTACCTCAGCACTAGAGGGTGCTCTAAGCCCAGTCTTGCTGGAAGTCTTGTGAGGGCTGAGGTTTATGTGGATGGACCTGGGGAAGATCCAAGGACAGTACAGGGGCTGTGTGGGAAAACTGGCTAGGAACCCCAGTATAGAAGATGGTCTTAATGGACCAGACAGGTGTGTCTCCCAACAAGTTCCTGCACAGGCAGGATAGGTCCCTATTGTAGCAAGACTCTGGAGCTGAGACTGGGCCCCTCAGGATCTGCTGTGGGAAGGAGACTGGCAAGCCAGTCTTACAGGCTTGGATGGACGCTTATCTCCCAGCAGATTCCTGCACAGGTGGGATAGTTCCCAACTGCAGGGGGAGGGGGAGGAGCTGAGACTGGATTGCCTTGGGGCCTGCTTTGGGTTGGAGGCCAGAGAAACTGTCTTGTTGGCTCAGACAGGCCCATGTTTCCCAGCAGAGCCCTGTAAGGATGAGATAGTTCCACAATTGCAGTGGTGGTGTATTTCAGTTAAATTCTGCTCAAAATTAGTAAGATGTTGAGTAGGCCTTGCAAATATGTTTATTACATTGCAATGTTACCTTTGGTGGTAGAAAATGACTTATATTCTAGAACTTAAATTCTGCTCCTGAATTTATTTCTGAATGATTTTGCTGCCTATGTCTTTTTCTTACCAATATTCAGATACTCTTCTTTTTTTAAACTTTATATTTCTGAGACTATTTTTTAGCAGAGCTAAACATATTCAAAGTGTGGAGGGGAAGAAAGCAAGTCAGAGAGTTTAGTGGAAATAGAGAAAGAAGAAATAATTCAATAATGAAAATGTTAGAAAGGAAATGTATCTTATTACATGTGATTTCTTTTGTGGCAAGTACATAGTCTCCAGAAAAATAGTGCAAGGGCAAAAGTATATTTTCTATGCTTATTTTTTGCAAATTTTAATTGGGAGTTCATGGGGCTTCTAATTCCTATTAAAAGTGAATTTAAATCTGTATGTTAACACAACAGTGGCTCATTCCCATCACTAGACCTTTAGGACTAGAGGGACAAGTGACAGATTTATGTTCCTTCCCCTTCTGCCTTTGAGGAGTTGTATAATGGTGGTGTATAGGGGTCCAACCTTCCTTTAGCTCAGCCCGTGTAATTAGATGGTGAAATGCATGCAATTCCTTCTCTCTGTGTTTCTCTGTCTCTCTCTCCGTCTCTCCCTCTCTTTCTCCCTCCCTCCCTGACTCTTTCTTTGTCACACACACACACACACACACACACACACACACACACACACACACACACGTGATTTTTGAGGGCATGATTTTCAAATTGGTTAAGTCTAACTTGAAAACTTTTATAAATAACAGAAATCAGGGAGTGACACGGACAGCGTCCAGCTCTGCCCAGGAGGACATCATTCGGTGGTTTAAAGAGGAGCAACTATCACTTGGAGCAGGCTGCCAGAAAACCTCAAACACCATAGCTCCCTGGTTCCATGGTGAGTGCACATTCCCTCAATGGAACCTCGTCTAAGGATGGATAAAGCTGTGCTAATCCATTGCAAAGGCAGACGGAATAAAGGCTTCCATTTATTCGTGCTGCCCAGAAAGGGTCTTTCGAATGATTTCCACAAAGCAGTTTTTAAAAGGTTTCCTCAGTGGGCTGCATTCTCACGACGATTTAGAAAGCAGTTGGCATTCATGGTCACTGTTTGCTCTGTGGGTTAATTTATCACCACAAATAAAATGCTGCAAGATGGGAGGTAAAAGCAGTATTCCTACTGACTTACCAGCGGGGCTCTTGATCGAGACTCTGTCAAATGGCCATGTCTTCCTTTCACCGAGAGAGAGTCAACTGGGGATGTTGGGTGTGCTGGATAGGACGCTGGGTTGACAGACCAAAGGTCAGGCTTCAGACCCAGCTCTCCATTACTCTAGTGACTGAGCAAATCACTTTCTTTTCTGGTAGCAACTCAATTTGTGATGTTTTAAGATAAAAATTCTGTGATTTTGATCCTTTCATTTTGGCATATAATTAAGGCTACAAGGTGGGTTTGTTAGAGTCTGAGCAGATGGTAGCTGAAAAACTGTTTTTGTGTTTGACCCAAGAAACTTGATGAACTCGAGCCCCTCTTCCACCCACGTCACACTTCACTGACCTCTTAGTTTCTTGGATTTCAAGAAAAGCTAGTGGCTTCTTGCTTCAGCTGGCTTCCATAAGGTCTATGAGTGAATTGGATTAAATGTATGTATAACAAAAGGTGCTTTAAAGCAAAAAATAAAATTCTCTCTGAAAGCATGTTTGTCCTAAGAGGGTTTGGGTTCATATTGTGTTTAAGGCATCTCTCTTTTAAGTGGTATAATCTCACACATAGGTATAGCCCCAAAAAGTAAGCTCCCGAGCACATAGCACGGGAAACTCTTCTAAAAAGAGCAATTATTTGTGATAGGCTTTTTCCTATAGCGCTGCTTATGCAGACAGAATGTTACAGGAGAACTTTCTAGTTCCCCTTGGAAATGGGTGTTCTTTGGCAATTCAGACTTTGGTAAGCAATGTGTCCATTCCTAGAGGAGTTTCTTCTTTCTCCTAGGGCAAAGGTCACAAGCCTCCTTCCTTTCTATTCTGCTTTAAAGTCATTGGGAGAAAGAGAGACAATATTGTCGAAGAAGAACAGATAGAACACGGCCAGTTACATATTAACATGGCAGTCTCAGCTGTCAGATATTGTCTAGTTTTCCTTTTTAACATAAGTACTGAGGAGGTCAGCCACTTCTTAGTTTCTGTCTCTTTGGGCAGAAGATGCTATCATGTCTGATTGTAAGGATGGTAGTTTTTTAACAGCAGGGCGTAAGAAAAGGAAAATGTTGTTTATTAAAAATGCTGATACCTTAACAGGCAGCTCTATTAGAAACTCTGAAAGGTAGAAAGGCATAGTTGAACTAAAAATCCAGTTGGTGCATTGGTTAAATATATTATTCTTTAGTTTTACATATAATAACTTATTCATATGCCATTGCTACTGATCTATTTTCACTTATACAAATATTTTTCAGTCATAAGCAAAACAAAAATACAAGATGACATAACAAAGTAATAACACATACACAGCCATTTAGTCAGTATAAGTCATTATTTTCAGTTTTAAAAAGACCAAATTTCATGTTTCCCTGATAAAGAGAATATGCAGCTCATCTTATCTCTTTGAAATGTAATTGTTTATTCATCGGGACATCTGTTTTGAAGTATTAGGGTGGTAGCTTTTTATTGTTATAAAATTGTTTTGCAGTCTTCTTTCCTTTGTTACATCCTCTATGAATTACCCTTCTTAAGATACCGTTTTGGTCATTCACCTAATTTTTCACTCTGCAAAAGTGTATACTTTCATCCATTTCTCTTAGTTAAGCTCTAGATAAGGATGGAAAAAGGAAGGAGAGGATGCAGGGAATGAAGACTAATGGATTTCTGGTTTTATGGCTGGGTGGAAGGTGTTTGGGTTATTGATGGAAAGAAGGAACATAGCGAGATTTAGGGATAGAAAGAAGAGAGGGGGGCGTTCTATTGCATGGCATGGTGAATATAGCTAATAATAAAATATTGTGCATTTCAAAAGTGCCAAAAGTGTAAATTTCTCACCAAAAATAAATATTACATGTTTTTTATCATAGATATACTGACTAGCTTGACTTAATGATTCCATATTATATTCATAAATTATGATATTGCTTTGTATTCTATACACTTATACAATTATAAATTGCTAATTTATAATAAAAAAATCAACTCTTCTCTATGGTTGATGAAAATGTGCTTCATCTGTATCTGCCTGTGGCTCCAGAATCATGTCAAACCATAGTCCCCCTTCTGTCCATCGTATACACCACACTTGTCCCTACCTTAGGACTTTTGCATTTGCTGTTCCTGCAGATCCCACCATGGCAGACTTCTTAAGGAAATAGCTGACCTGACTGTGGAGTCTTGGTGAATCAAAAAATCTAATGGAGTAAGAGGGCGGGCTGGTGCTGCTGGGAAGAAGGGCACTTTGGGTTGAGAGGCAGCCTGTTGGAAGAATTCCTTCCTGCTGAGAGATCAGCCTTTGATCTATTAAGGCCTTCAGTGGATTGGAGGAGGCCCATGCACGTTGTGGGGAATAATATGTTTTCCTCAAAGTCCACCCATTTAAATGTTAATCTTATACAAACAAAAACAAAACACTTTCACAGCATCATCTAGAATAATTTTGTGTTTCAATTCCCTGGTCTTCAATGTCTGGCTCCCAAAAGGGGAAAAAGAGAAAAGTGAGAGGGCAGAGATTTTAAAATTTAATGATCAGATTACCTAGGTTTGAGTTATGTTTTCTCCTCTATAAAATGAGGGTAATGACAGTATGTGCTTAGAACAGTACTTGGCACATGGTGTTTCTTTTATTTTGATTTATCAGAACCAAACAGTTTAAGAATAAATTTATCCTTCCTGTTCTCTCTACCTTTCTCTCCATTATGATCCTAATCCTGTCACAAAATATTATTTTGAGTAACAGCGTCATTAAGAATTAAGCAGCACTTCAATAAAATGGATTGTCATTACTGCAGAAACTGACCTATACGATTTTCACAAGTATTTATTTAGGACCAGTCTTTAAAAAGTCAGGAGGTCACCTCAGAAGGCATCAGTTATTTGGAAGTACACAAGAACATCCCCACCAACAGAGAGTGAATCTGGAAAAGTTTGTCAAGACGTTGCAGGTTAAGGCTGAACTTGGATTTGGGAGGGATGGTGTGAAGAGATGCGAGAAAGTCCTACAGTTGCTAAGTAATAGATTCTACTTTCTAGATGTATGATCTTTTGTATATTGTAATTGATTAAATCTATTCAGTTTTGTTTCCTTAAGGATTGTTTTCTGCTTTCTTCTTCATTCACATCACCTTTTGTCTTTTCTCATCCTGTTATCTTGAACTCCATTTATTCAGTTCAGGACTGTTTTGATCCTCTGGTACAATCCTTGTTTTTATTCTTGCATCTGGTTGCCACATTGCGGCATTCTTTAAGACAGACCTTATAATCTATAATAGTTGTAAAGTAAGTGATAAATGCTGGAAAGTCCTGCTGACTGAACAGAATTATCCTACTGATTCTACTCCAGCATATAAGTCTCCAAAGTATGTAGATATGTAATTAATTATACCATACTAACATGCTTTTAAGCTTCCTCAAGAAAGGCCCAATGAATAAATAAAATTGAAGTTTGATGTTCTGTCCAGAAACTCACAGATTCACTCTTCATTCTGTATATAAACATTTTCCTACTTCTACTAAAAATACAGCAATATATAGGAGCTCAGAAATTGGCAGGGACTGGGAGTAGGAAGATGTGTAAAAAGATAGAAATACAGGTATAAACAGATTCCTGATTTAGGAATTTTCTAATTGTTTCTGTTAGAGAATTCACATATTTGCTTTATGTATCCTTGTTGATCATTATTCCTCTGAAATGTGATTAAAATTTTCTTATTCAAATATGGATATAGTTGGACTGTTGATGAAATATTTCCATCTTTATTTGTTTCTTGTGGACGTCTTTTGCTGTCATGGCATATAACTGAACCTGCCTATCAAATGCTTTAGTCCTAATGTTTTATATTTTAGGCTACCTAAAAAGCAAATCCCTTTAGCTTTGGTGAGGTACCAATACAGTTCATACTTCAGTTTTTTTTGTTATTAGTTGGAGTCTCATTCTGTTGCCCAGACTGGAATGCAATGGTACGATCATGGCCACCCCAGCCTCCACTTGCTAGGCTCAGGTGAACCGTCCACTTTAGCCTTCCAAGTAGCTGGAACCACAGCTGTGCACCACCATGCCCAGATAATTTTTTAAAAATTTTATTGTAGAGACGAGGTCCTACCAAGTTGCCCAGGCTGGTCTTGGACCCCTGAGCTGAGGCAAACCTCTTGCCTCTGCTTCCCAAAGTGCTGGGATTATAGGTGTGAGCCACCACACTTGGCCATAATTTTCAGCTATTTTGATTTCTTCCATTTTTGACACATCCCACTGTCTCATTCTCCTTGGGAAGGTAGATTCTAGTCATTTCTGTAGAGGCAGTTATTCTCTGGAACTTCAGTTTCCTAGAGACACTGTCCAGGTGGAGTTCTCTTACCTTCCTCCTTCCCCTCCTGGCAGTTTGCTACCCCACAACTCCTTCAGCACGGGGACGAGATACCACATAGAATTATCATTCATAACTGAACAGATTGCATTAACAAGGGCTCAGAGAGGCTTCCCAGTGTTTGTTTCAGGCTAAAATCTTAGAGAACTTATGAACCCATAGGTGACCACCTGTCCTTTGACTGTTTTGCTGAGGAGTGAAGATTTCTTAATTGTGGGACCATCAAAATTCTGCCCACCTGTCACAAAGGGATTTCCAAGCTTCTGTCTTCACCAAGTATACATTACTGATTTATGTGACTTCTGAGAGCCTTTTTGTTCCTAAGTCTCAGATGGCA